ATTCCTCGGGGCGGGGTAAATAACCCCTTCCTTTCACGCTAATAAATTACATTCATCCTAATATATATTAACATAAACACTACACAACACGACACAAACACTTCAGACACAACACAAGCACAGCACAAACACACATAAACTATATACATTTGAAAAACCCTATAGCCCTGAGCTATCGGTACAACGATTTGTGCCCGCTGCCGTGCCCCAAGACTACGCATAGGTCCGATGATGTTCCAAAATATTGCCTATAAACGTCGAGCCTTCTACATTTGAAAAGGTGGTCGACTGTTACTCTATCTTTGCATAATGGGAACCTATGCGGTCGCTTTCCTGCTAGAAGGTGCCCGTGCGTAATTCTTGTATGACCTATGCGTAGTCTTGTCAGTATGACCTTTTCCATTTTTGACCCATTTTCCGTGAACCAGGACCGACGTCTTTCTTAACTTGCCACAGTTTGGCAGGGTTATTTATATTTTTCCACGCCCAGCGGTTTTTCCATTCTTCTTTTATCGTATTTGAAATTAATAACTTGAGATCCGCTGGGCGTATAGGTTGGGAAGCGTCGTATTGATTTAAACCTGTCTTTTTTATTTTTTACATCTTGTTTGTGTTGGTTTAGCCTTTCATATAAAAATTGTATTTTTTCCTATATTAGTTTTTTGACAGGTGTATTTTGCCGTATAAATTATTTTACTGTTTTTTATTTTTTCTATAGGATCTTCTATCTGAGGTAATACATTGTATACATTTTCACTGATGTATGAATAAGTTGTAAACTTTTAAACATTTCTGCTTTTTTTGAGATTTTTTTCAGTGAGGTCTTCTAAATAAATTAATCCTATACATTGAGTTACTTTATCTTGTTCAATCTTTCGGTTTTCGTTTTCTTCTTTAGAATCAATTTTTTTCCTTTCTTGACTTATAATTCTTTCTATAAGAATTTTTATATATTTAAATTTTATTAAATTTTCTATTATATTTTAATAATAATAACATTATGTGTTATAGAGTGCATGAAGAAATAAATTAATACTTTCTCAGAACGATAGGTTTTTTATATCATTGTGAGTATATAGTCTGCATTTTGGATCAACAATACATCCAAAAATGGGAAATTGTTGTTTTCTTTTTCTAAGTTCAATTTGATATTTTAATGTAACTTGCTACAGTCATTAATAGTATTTCTATTATGTTCTAATAGAATTATCTTCTTTGTGTACAATAATAATTGTATCATCTACATATTTCTTAAGAAATTTCACTCTTTATATTTTTATGTAAATGAATTGGATAATTTTACCAACAAATCTGTCATATGTATGTACACTTATTATATTGTCATGTACATATTTTTTACGAAATTGTCCTCTCGTTTTTGGGGTGTTTAACATTTTTTCTATGACCTCAGGTATATAAATTCCTGTTACTACAGTAGATAAGCTATCTCCCATCTATATATTATATCATTAAAAATGAAATATAAATCGCTTATAAATTTTTCGAATACTTAAAAAAAAATTATAATGTTGTACGGTGTGTAATACACATTTACATGTACTAAATATTCGCAACAATCTTTTAATAACAACCATGAGTCAAAGAAAAATAATATTTTGTGATTACGATTTTCCATTTTATTCATGGCTGTGATGCTTTAAGTTTTGTCTAAACTCGTGAAATTGGTTTTATTTATTTGTTTATCAATAATTGAAATACCAACGTGCGTTGGCTCATTTTTTTAAATGGTCCTTTTTAAACTTAAATCTTTCCAACTTTATATGTTTTATCTCATTATCTGTAGTGATTATTAAGAAATCGTGAGATGCGGTCTGGTGTGATGTAGGTTTCAGAAAAACATTTGCTTTATCGTGCCAACGTTTCGATCTTTATTGAGATCATCTTCAGAGCCTGGGATTTACAAACATTGTTTAAATTTAACAAGCATATGTAGGATGTGGAAGAAAGTGAATTTATACAATGGAAAAAATATTTTTTATATTCAATCGAAGTATTTCTACTCACTCAGTGTTTTTTTTCTGCGTACATTTTGAGCGAGTAGAAATACTTTGATTGGATATAAAAAATCCATTGTTTAAATTCACTGTTTATAATGAAATATAAAATGTTATTTTGTTATCGACCGACTTTGATACAATCTGGACTTAATAAGTGATTGGATTTGTGGTGCTTGAATTAATTTCGGCTTGTTATAGCCATGAGGAGCGGCGAATTTGGTGAAATTGTGTTCACAATACTTTCTTTCATACTTATATCACCACAAGCATAGCGCCACATTTTAGGGCCTGAAGATGACCCGAATAAAGTTCGAAATCTTGGCAAAAAAACAAAGGAAAAGGTGTTTTTTTTAAACTACCTCATTCTAGATCGCTCCTCAAAAATCCAACAAATTATTAAACAAACGGTAACTAAAAAAACACACACACATAAATATATTTGTTTAGTATAAATATAAAACAAAAAGTTATTTTATTATGGATTTAAATTGCCATTGTACATAATTTGTTTGAAATATTACGTAAACGAGTAGAGGTTTTTTCGGTATAATAACTTCAGATCGGTTCGAAGTTACAATGTTAATTAAAAGCTTTCTCGCTATAGGACAACATTTTCTGCCAGGCTGTAAAGCTTGTTTTGTACCTCCGAACTTTCTACCTTTATTCCATTCAACAGAAAGAAATGTTTTAACACTCTTTTATAAATCAATCGCAGCCTTATGCGAGAATAAGATGGTAGAGAAAAACGGTTCGGTTTTTTTATGTGTTATATGACGGGTGATAAACTAGTAATTTGGTTGTTACAGATGATTTTCGTTCTCCTAGCCTCGCTGGGTTGGTTTATTATAGAGGACTCGCCGATTCGCCATCTTCAGTGTTGGATTTAGTTGATTATTGATTCTTTTTATCAAGTTTCTTTTATACTGTTTTAAAATATGTCGGTTTTATCTTTGTGTATTGCGAATTGTTATAATAAGTTAACGACACTAACAGAACGCAAGAATTAAAGTCAATAATATATTTTTATATTGGCCAATACTAGCCACTGCCTAGGTTTGTACGACCTGCCAATCAAACCTTTCCAACTTTATATATTTTGTCCTCATTATCTGTATTCTTGACATAAAAATATGTCTATTCAAAATATATTATCACTTTCAAGTTATGAACTAGTTCCTATTATGAATTTTGGCTTATATTTCTATTTCTTAATTTGTAATGAAATATAAAATTTTGTTTTATTATCGATTTACTTTGTTACAGTCTGGATTTGAGAATTTATTGGGTATGTGGTTCTTGAATGAGGTATTTTAGAAAAACACGTATTTTATCTTTTTGCTGACGTTTCCACCTTTATTCGGGTCATCTTCAGGCCATGAATTGTGATGCTATACTTTTGGTGTCATATTGTTGTTGTGTGAAATAGTGTTCATAACACTTAAGGCAAGAATTAAAGTTAATAATATATTTCAATTTATTAAGGTTTTTAGTTGAGATAAAAAAGCAAGTGTCCCGAGCGGGATTCGAACCCACGACATTCGGCTAGACTCGCCTCTAATTTGCCACTTGAGCTATCATGACCTCGATCCACTCGGACACTAACTTCCCATCTCAACCACACCTTTTGAATTTTCCCTCCTTTCATGCCATTTTTCATCTCAACTAAAAGCCTTAATTATTGGGTTGTCCGGAAAATAATGCAGGATTTTGGTATTAAACAAAAAAAAAGAAACTAGTTACTTTAAAGCAATGTTCTTTAATCAAANGTAATCCTGTAAACGTAAACAGAATATTTTATATAGATTTTTTTTAATGAAAACTTAAAATCCTGCATTATTTTCCGGACAACCCAATAATTGCAAGATATTAATTGGTCAAGCGGACCACGATAACTAGTGAATTTAATAAGTAAAAATGAAGTATACCTTCACTAAAACTCTCCGTGGCCATTTCATTTGTCGCGAGAATCAAATGGATTACACGACATTTGAAAAATGTTAAAAATGGAATGAAAACTTGATTGCGATGGGAAGTTAGTGTCCGAGTGGATCGAGGTCACGATAGCTCAAGTGGTACAGCAGCGTGGTATCCAGCCGAAGATCGTTGGTTCGAATCCCGCTCCTGACACTGACTTTTTTATCTCAACTAAAAACCTTAATTAATTGAAATATATTAATTGTTCAAGCGGACCGCGAAAACTAGTGAAGTTAATAATATATATTTTATGTTGGCCAATACTACCCACTGGCTAGTTTTTTTAGTTCCTTAAAAATTGGAAAAAAGTGAGAAAGAAATCAGCCATGAAACAGGGAACTTCGGATAGGTGACACTATCGTACATGGCAACAGATGTGCAATTTCTCAGCTGTGGATGAAAAGGAGGGGCAATTGCACAATAGATCTTTCATCACAATGTAAAAAGGAAGACAATCGTTAACAGAGATCCCAGGGGGGAAAAAAAGTATTTTGGAAAGTTATGTACAGGGTGAGAGGTGTCGGTATCTTTCTCAAGACTTTGTATCGATTGATACAGAGAAAAGGAGACCTTTGGTTGCCTCTTATTTCTAAAAGTTAAACTTCTTATTTTCGCACAAAGAGCTAAAAGGAAAAGAGGTAAAATTTTAATATATTATTATATATATCGGTCTGTACAACTAAAATAACTTAGAGCGAAATGCTTTCTAGACCTTTTATTCAAAACAGAAGGATCGGGTGTAACAAAGATTTAAAAAATGGTCACGATAGATCTTAAGAAGAAAGGTAGAATATCGTCACAATAACACCTATAATATTTCATTTTAATATTAAAAAGTTTGTTTTACAGTTGTACCATCACGTAATTTATTCGATGAAAGAAGGTTAATTATAAAACTTTTAGTCTCTTGAAAGACTTCGTATTGTTTTTGAAGGCAAGTTAGAACAAAACATTTGAAGAAAAGGGAGAAAAATAATTTATAGGAATAAAATACAATATCCAACTTACCAATGGCCGTCCGTGGATGATGTGCTGCATGTAGAACGGCGATTCAATCGAAGAAGTCGGAAGGGCTGACTGGCCCTTCCTATATATCTCGACCACCATTTTCACTCTGGCACCTGCAGACGGCGAAATAACAAAGAGAAAAAAAATTGGTGTAAACGTGGGAAAAAGAAAACGTTTTTAAAGCCTAAGAGGCGAATTGAGTGAATTCCGGGATTTTCCTCGGACGTTTGTTTTATGTCACTGGAAAGGGCGTGTGGGCGGAAGGGAAAAGGACGCCGATTATCTATCAACGTCTCCAGGGTGGGATCACGTAGTGTTCGAAGAAGGAAGAAAACTCGGTTCCATTTCGGGGCCGATCTACCCAAAGGGACTGCAAAAAAAACCCATGCAAAATGGTAAAAATCGTTGTTTTATACACTTATGGCTGCATAAATGAATTGTTTGGTTATTTAAAGAAAAAACCTTTTGCCAATTATAATTATGCACTGAAAGATCATAATCAAACATATTTCAAAATTTATCCTTCCCAACTCCTAACCTATTTTTCATTCGGAAAATTCATTTATAATTATTGCAGTAAAAAAAAAAAATATGTCGTAAAAAAAACGTTTAAAGAAAGAAAATTAGAAATATTAAAAATTATAAAGACCATATAAACGTACACAAAAGTACAAAGCAATAAATAAAATAAAACAAAAATATTATAGTTTTTGAACTAAAACAATTGTTAAATTCACTAGTTTCGTGGTCCGCTTGACCAATTAATATCTTTCAATTAATTAAGGTTTTTAATTGAGATAAAAAAGTCAGTGTCACGCGATTCGAACCCATGATCTTCGGCTAGATACGCCGCTGCTCTACCACTTGAACTATCGTGACCTCGATCCACTCGAACACTAACTTCCCATCTCAACCCCACCTTTTGAATTTTCCCTCCTTTTTGCCATTTTTCAAATCTCGTGTGTCACCGAGAATCAAATAGATTATAGGATATTTGAAAAATGGCAAAAAGGAGGGAAAATTCAAAAGGTGGGGTTGAGATGGGAACGTAGTGTCCGAGTGGTCGAAGTCACGATAGCTCAAGTGGTAGAGCAGCGTCGTATCCAGCCGAAGATCGTGGGTTCGAATCCCGCTCCTGACACTGACTTTTTTATCTCAACTAAAAACCTTAATTAATTCTAAAACAATTATAGTTAAATTTTTCAATATGGCAAGGAATAAATAATATAATGTATATTCTGATTATTTATTTTATTCCATAGACAGAACACATATGAAAAAAAAAGAAAATATGAATATAATGAAAACAGTAAATATATAGGTTTTGTATACACAAAAGGACTTACAGAAAGAATCGTAAAGATTTTTTAAGACAATAAACTTACTGGAACAATTTTTTTTTGTTGACAAATATTTTAGAAAAAATGTTATATCTATAGTATCATTTATAAAAGAAAATATAAACAACTATTATTTAAAAAAATATAATGTATAAAGTTGTGTGTTTATTTAAAAAACATATCTTGGGAAACCTATACAATATTTAATAAACAGTGTAAACAAATATAGTCAATAAAAAAGATACAGGTTTATAAAAACGTCCTAAATGAGAGTAACACAGAAGATTTTGAAAGGGTTAATAAGTTTAATGGCTAGAAAATCTTAGTATAAATTTGGGAAAAGAATAGATTGATGTACAGAAAGATAAAAATAAAATTGCACAATAGTGCAACATTTTAAGTATATGTAAAGAAATAAAATCAAATGCAATGAAATGAGTAGGTAAATAAATTTTATTAAGGCTATAGCAAGAACGGCAATAGAACGGTAAATTATAGAAAAGTTTCCGAGTTAATTAATGTTAATTATTATTAATTTCTAAAAAGTTCCAAAAAATTAAATAGTAGGGGAAAAATGAAGAAAAATCAGCTTTTACTTAATAAACCTGGTTCTGAAATGGTCACGAACCCCACGTTGTGGAGGACAAACCCGGTTACCTTTAACCTATGTTAAGTATGGTGTAATTCAAAAATTAAAATATTCAATATTATAAGAACTATAATTATTTCAGGTTTATCTGGGCGTGAGGAAGGTACTAAAATAGTACCGAAACTTCGCGAAAATAAAAAATGTGTTTTCTGCTTTTGTACTAAACATCATTGGCTTTCACACCAAAAAATTAACAGCGGTTTGTACAAACGTCTAAAGAAAAGTAAGTAAACAGTTAATAATAATAAATAAAGTATAAAAATCTGTGGCGTATAGTGACCGATAGTTAATGATTATTTGAAGATTGTAAGATGCGGTCTGGTGTGACGGAGGTTTTAGAAAACCATTTTCTTTATCGTGCTACGTTTCAAGCTTTATTGAGATCATCTTCAAGGCCTGGGATTTATAAATTTAAATTTTACAAATTCGTTACATTCTCAAGTACAATCCTCACATCTGGTTGCATTCCTACACGCTCTCTATATAGAGCACAGGAATTGCACCCTTCGATTATGTGGGACACATTCTTTCTTCATGTCATCATCTATTTAAAAATTATATATAAATAGATGTATAAAAATAAACTAGATATGAAGAAAAAATGTGTCCCACATAATCGAAGGGTGCAATTCCTTTGCTCTATATAGAGAGCGTGTAGGAATGCAACCCGATGTGAGAATTGTACTTGAGAACGTAAAGGATTTATGGGTCCTCTGATCCTTTTCTAAGAGGAAACAGGTTTGTTTTATTATATATGCTACAGATAGTTATGTGTCCCTAAAGGAAATGATAGTGAATTCACTTATTAGCGTGAATGAGTAGTGAAAGAGGGTATGAGGATAATGAGTAATTACCATTTTATAATATTTAAAAAAAAAATGCCTGTTTAAAATAATATTAACGATTATGTTTAACAACATAACATATTGTACTACAGTCCAACAAACTAATGAAACGATAAATACAATATTTTTATTGAATAATGAGATATTGTAACTTATGATTTGACCAACTTATCATATAAATTAACTTATATAAACGTTGTGTCGTTGTATGCTTATAATTTATGTAAATAAAGACAATTGAATCCTAGATTGTGAGTAAACAATATCTTTTGCATGCAGTGGACGTGGAAAAATATATTAATATATTTAGTTGGCATCTGAATTTTTCCAAATTATTATTCCACTTTTTTCTTATAAACTTTTGAAAGTGTTATACATTTGAAACATTTTGTGATGTATTGGAGTTAAATGTCGGGTTTAGTCGTAAAGGGATCCCACAATAATTTGGGAAGTCAGAATAAAGGTCTGTATATATAATAAAAATAAAAAAATGGCCGCATTTATGTATTTTGATGCATCGAAAAAACTTACTGACTGCAAAATAGTAACGGTGAATCATCTTGAGAGATGAATTCTACTTATGACTACATATTTCTATTAAAAAATGAACTCAAATATCAACTATGAAATGTATAAAATAGGAAGCGAATATTTGTTTTTTTTTTTTTTTTGCAACGTGCTAAAGATTTGTTTTTCAAAATGAGGTCATTAAAAAAAATAAATAGAAATAGATTGAGACAAAAATAGCTATGAAAAATTTATATTAGTGGGTGGAACCATATTTCAAACGATTCTCAATTAAAATGTTACGGGTTCATTGGAAATTCGAACCCAGAACCGCTATAGTGCCAAATACAAGACGCCTGCACTAACATTTTTGGCCATCACGATCCACTATCACTATCGGAGAATAATATTGAATATTGGCTCTTTTGTATGTTAATATGTGAATAACTCTAAATGTAAAATCAAATTTTAGATTGGAATAAAATATTATTTTTAAAAATTTAGTTCAAGATGTTTCCTAATAGGATAGAAAGCTCAATGGAACACCATGGCAATTTTGAAAATCGATTTGAACTACAATAATTAAAACTGATTATGACAAAAATTAGTTAATAATTGAAAAAATTGTCCATTATTTCATCTTAAATAGCTAAGGAAATTTAAGAAATTGAAAATTATATTAATGTGAGTTTGTAAATGACTCAAATTTATAACATTTTCAAAAAATTTTGTAGCACTAATATTCTTTTAATATTCTTTTGTTAAAAAAAATTGGCTTGTATTTTTTCACTGTTTTATGGTTCATTTAATTATCAAATTGAAAAATATTAAATGGTTGGCATAATAATTGTGCATACAGTATGCCTAAGTTTTCTACGCGAGTTTGTTTAATTCTGAATTTCTTCTTAGCATATACATGTTATTCTTTCGATTCCTCTCTATGATGGAAGCCGGGAAAGCTACTTCAAACTTACTCAATTTTCCATGTATCGAACCGCCCTTTTTACGCCGGATGGTGACTGCGCAAAGTTAAGTCGGCAGATTTTTTGGAAAGAAAATTCTTAACAGGCCGATAATCCTATGAGAAACTCGTGATTCCTTATCAGACCTAACTTTGTTTGTACAGTCATGAGAACTGGTTAGAAGTGTTGATACTATAAAATAAACCTCTATGAATTAAGTATTCCCGGCCTAGTTGATAAATTTTTGTATATATAAAATAAATTGGCTTTCAGATTCCAAATTTTATTAATTTTATTATTTTAACAAAAACAATAATTATTTCAGTCCTAAAAAACAGACAAACTTTAAGTATATTAATTATCATTAAGTAGGCTAAATTGTCCCTGTCATATTAGCAGTATTTCGAAAGTAAATACAAACTATTTAAGAAGAAAAATTTCTCTTTTATTTAGCGAAAGCCCACAGGCGGTAAAGGTCTTGCTCCAGGGTAGAATCTGCAGAGAGAGTAAAAAAGGGCTAAAAATCTGCTTTTTACGTGGGGCTTTGTCACTTTTTAAGCTGTAATTACAAGCCTAAACGACCACTTAACCCCTTGCACGGTGCCACTTCCTTTTTATTAAACCGGACCAGCAATGACAGCCTGAAAAATATTGCTTGAAGGCGCAGTAGAAAAAAAAACGTGGAGGCGGAAAGTAAGCCTTTTCCGTACAGACTCATGAAGTTATTAAATCACTAAAACCCCTTCAGTAAACCTTATGGGAGCACTTAGGCTCGCGATAAATGATGAAAACCTACACGAACCAAGATAA